TTTTTAGTAATCTTTTATGAAATAGAGGCAGTCCTCGGCTTAAGAACATCCGATTTGGGGACTGCATGTACCCAGTGTTTTTACCGGCTATGAAATTTAAATATGTAAATATAGAACTTTGTTTTTACGTATCAGTTTTCTTCCAATGATGTGCAAAAATGCATGTTATTATTATTATTATTATTATTATTCATAATATTAGTAGTAGTAGGAGGATCAGTGGTAGTAGCTTTGTATGTATTTGGCACAGTTTACTGCTAGCTTTAGCCATGCTTTCTTACACGGAGTAGTTAATTTCATTCTACCACTGCACGGCCCCTCCAGGTACCGCAAGGCAAAAGAGTATTCAGCTAATCAGCAGGAACTCACCAGAGTACTGTCACTGCCTGAACCATTAGCTGACAATCTTTCAGTTAATCTCCTCAATCTTCCCCCTTATTTCCTTCGCCGTTTGTCACCATCCCTCCGCCGCAATCACTAACTTACAGGGCATCAAGAAAATAGAGGTTACATGCTTGACTTCTCAAGGAAATGAAGTTTGATGATTGGAGATCAAAGGTCTCTACGGTGGATTCCAGAAGCACAGGCGGGCGAGTAGAAACAAGCACAGGCCATTAATTCTTTTTCCTTTCTGAGAATTTTTTTTTTTTTTTTACAAGTTTCCACTTTCCTCCCGACGAGTCATTTAAGCTGTTTCAGGAGTTTGTTAGCTTGATTGGTCATTTAATTGGTTTAACAGAACATTGGCTCAAATTTTCTTCAGTCAAACGTCCTTCGCTTGTCAATTCACTCTTGAAATCTAAGAATAGCACAATCATTAACCACAAAATAAAGTACTCTCTGCAGGACTAACTCAGACAAACGAGGGAAGCAGTGCTAGCTGATGTTAAAGGTGTATTTTCGGATTTGGGTAAAGGCTTTAACTGAGATTCAGGTAAAAAAAAAAAAAAAACACTGAAATGAGAAGAGGTTGGCATTTAAAAATGTTGCATCCAATCTAAAGTACAACATTTTAATACAAACTTATCCATTTCGCCATGTGATTGCATGAGTAATTAGATCACCCTAAATTAATTAGCCTGCCTCAAATAATAGGCATACCCAATAATAATTATTTTCAGAGCATATTTCTTTAGTTCTCTCTCTCATGTATTTTAATGTTTTAAGTTTTCCAAGCACAAAAACCCAGCTATTAAGAAATTAAATTGAAAAAACGAACAGGATTGCTTGTGCCACCAAATGCTGAACGATAATGCCAACCAGATGTGAGGTTCATGGCAATAATGAGTGAATTAATCTTCACTTGCCTGAAAAATAAATGTGAAAAACAGGAATCCTTTATTTTCTAATTTCATAAATAGGACGGCAGCATTATTGCTATGGTGATCTGGTTACCAATAGATACAGCTTCAGCCTTCAACCTCTGGTACCACGCGTCTCCGCTTCAGATTATCTAAGATATTCTACTCTTCAGATGAGGCCAAAACAGTTTTCACTTCTTCCACCGAGGTTGTAAAATGAGAACAGATTTTTCCATAAAGTGTGACATCCCAAGGACGACAGCCGCTCTCCATTATCACAAAACATATTGTGAGGCAGGGGAGGCAGAACCAGCCAGGTATTCTTAATGTCTCCAGTCCTACTGAGGGACTCTGTTGGTCTCACTTCCACTAAAAACAAAATATGGGGAAGCGGAGCTGCAGTAAGAGCCTTTGTGCAGCATTACTGAGACACGCTAAAGCCAGTGTGTGACTCGGCAGCGTAGAACTCGAATGACTGGATAGTCGCTGCTTTAAATCCCATGGTCGGCAGGGTGATGTCACCGTTGGTCCCTTGAGGAAGACTCTCAGTTACTAGAGGGACCAGCTACAGGGTCTCTTTGGATAAACGCATCTGATAAATTAAATGAAATATATAATACTGAAGTAGACAAAGCTATACTGTTATAAAGTAAGAGTGTGTGTGTGTGTGTGTGTGTGTACACTAGTGGCCAAAATTGTGGAAACACCTAGCATTTTTGGCATTATGCTTTAAAAATGACTACACAAATATTGGCGGTAATGTCTATAAACAATCAAAAATGTTTTCAAATATCAAACACTGGACAGTTAAACGGATAACTGGAGTAATTGCATGGAATAAAGTTCTGTAATCTCTAGAAATTGGAAATGTTTCCACAATTTTGGCCACTAGTGTATATATATTACAATAATGTTTACATATTGCTATCATGGGGTCTCCCGACTCCGGTCCTGCAGAGCTACTGTCCGGTAGGTTTTCTGTCCTCCATGGCTTCTGATGAACCACACCTGATCTCATGTAATGACCAGGAACAGCTGTGGCTTAAGTGAAACCAGGTAGGATAGAAAACGTACCGGTCAGTAGCTCTCCAGGACCGGAGTCGGAGACCCTCGCATTAGAGTAACCGGACTGCCAGGCAGATTTAATACGGCTTTGTGTGTACGCTCTTCTGTATGCACTGCAGCGTAATAGCGGCTCTGCCTCACACTGAGAGGGCAGACCCATCTGTTAAGGCCACGGCGGCCCGTCGCTCCACTGCCCTTTCAGCATCCCCTGCCGTAGAGGCAGTTCGAGCGGCAGGGTGCCTCAGAGGCCACAGGTGGGATCGACTCTCTTCCGGCGCAGCTTTCAGGAAACGCTAAACTAGCAAGACGCGTGAAGTCATGTCTGAGCCGTTCAGGGAAGGAGATGCAAAGGACATGCAGCAGGACCGTCTCCAGGCTGCTCTTTCTACTTCCCCCCCCCCCAGTTCTCCTTCATCGTTATTTTTTCACATCAGAAGAGCTTCTATTTGATGCTGAGGACGCCCGACCACATTCATATTCTGCAGGCGTGCCGAGGCGCGCCGAGAAAACACCCATGAGCTGAATCGGGCCGATGCGCGGATCTAGGGAATCTTCCATCGATTAATCCATCATGCATTTTCATTGATCGATTTTATTTTTTTTATCTATCCTTCCCGTGTCAGCGGTCCATCTTTAACAGCACTCTGCAGGTCAGTCCATTGAATATCAATGGATCTCTGCCGAAAATCCCCCGGGTTTAAAAGAAAAGGTCCATTAAGGCAGATGATCGGTAAAAACAAAGTTTCCATAATACCTTTCAGATAATTGCTTGTAGTTCAACTGCTGAATACATGTAAAGGCACGCTTTAATACACCGTCATTTAATAAAGTCTGGACTCACCCGCGCTCATTCTTAAAAGGCACAGAAAAGCAATTACACTCAACAAATAGCTCCCCCCTCACGGGAATTCTCGCATTCATCCTGGGGAAGGCAGATTAAATTCCTATCACACCTGCATGAATCATGAGATCCCTTTGCACCGATATATATCTTAACCTCGGTTAATTATCACGATCGATACCCAAGATTCAGCAGGCGGACAAAATAATACTGAGCCAAGCGCCTGTGTCTGCATCCGCGGACAATGGATCACCGCATCGCGCCGTCGTTTCCCCTCTAAAGATATCGTTTGGCATAAAAACAACCGTTTGTCTCTTGTAAGTGAGAGGAAATAAATTACAGAGTAAATTTGCCAGTAAAACAGGACAAAGCATATCGATGGCAACACGGCGGCATTTATCTCAGTTGTGTGTCTCCACCTTAGATACCCACAATTCATTTCAGCAAATTTGTTGCACTGCGTGTAATTCATTTAGTAAGAAGGTAGCACCCTGAAATCAGGACTTTTACCAATCAAAATATTCTAAAACATCTACAGCTGCAGACCCTGCCCACTACACTGTATCTACACTGTATCACTGTATCAATTCATCCTCACGTTGGAGTAGTAGGTGAGCACTCCATACTTTGAAGCACAACTTTGCCTCTTTCATGCTTATTTGTACTATCACCTAGGTATTTATATAACTTTCTCTCTATTAGTTTATCAGCAGTGCATGGCTTTCATATTCCACCGGCAAACTTGCATATCTAAAATATAAAACCATCATCTAGCTCCTTAAGTGAACTGAGGAACCATAGCATTCTGGTCTGGGATAACAAATTTTCTTTATGTTGATTTTCACCTTCTCTGTCCATCTCGGGGTGTCCCGTTGCGGTCCTCGGGAACCCACTGTCAGTCCATGATTTTGCTCCCACCCACCTCTGAGAGCAAAAAAAAATGTGGACTGTCCGGCAAGGAGCTGGGAGGGAGCAAAAATGTGGACTGTCTGGCAGGGAGTTGGGAGGGAGCAAAAATGTGGACTGACTGGCAGGGAACTGGGAGGGAGCAAAAATGTGGACTGACTGACAGGGAGCTGGGAAGGAGCAAAAATGTGGACTGACTGGCAGGGAACTGGGAGGGAGCAAAAATGTGGACTGACTGGCAGGGAGCTGGGAGGGAGCAAAAACGTGGACCGACTGTGGGTCCCCGAGGACCCGGTTGGGAAACACTGGTCTAACTGAAGCATTTGCACATTTCATTTCCTCTTCAAAGGGTGACCTGCTGATGTATGATACACAGTAACTCAAATTCGAAACATTTCCTTTCTGGAAGGCAGGTTTGATAGTTTACCATTTGAAATGTGCCCAGTTTCCTCTTTTATGCAATTTATCCCACCGCCTCACTTGCTCTGAATAACAGATTGTTTGTCATTCAGGCAGAATTGGAGATGACTATAACTTCTGAAAACACTGAGCTTGTCAAAATCTTCTTTTTTGTATAACTGGTTCCTTTATTTTGTATCAATACTCCTCGCTAACAGAAATACCAATGTTTATCCAAGAAGCTGATACAAAGCCTAAGACTGGATATATATGGATGTACTTTATCAATAAGCAGTTATCCAAGATCTAATGTGATTATTAGCGATTCTGTTACAACTGGGGTGTGGTTGGTCGATTTCACCTCAGGGGCGTATTGGTGTGAATTTTAAATCTTATTTCTGTTCCTGAGATAGGAATGCCTATGCTTGTGTTTGTGCTGTACATGACATCAGGACGCCTTGTTTACATAAAACAACAAAAGAACTCACCCAGTCGGTTATCCAATATCCCAAAATCCAGCGAGTATTTCACAACGTGATAGTTGTTCCACACATACAGCAAATTGTCTCTTGGATTGTAATCCACAGCTGCGATATACTGGTAGGAGTTTGGGAAGGGAATGTCGAGGTAACCCTCCTTGCTGTGCTCCGTGCTGTAGATGTAATCAATCTTATTCCCCGTGGCTTCGTTGTCATCATCTTCGTAGACCGTCTTCACCACGTAGAGGTTTCCGCATATCATGAAGGCGTTGGAGGCAGATCGCTTGTCATACGATGTCTCCCAGGTGCCTTCGATGCGTAGGGTGTACGGATTTAACTGGCTAATAACGATCTTGCCATTATTCTGTTCCGTGGCATAGATCACCCACAGTCCATTCTCGTCCACCGCGAGGTCGATATCCGATTTACCCCCCCAGCGGTAGGGCGAGGTGTCGTGGTAGTTGGCGCTGGCAATGATGGCCTCGCCGCTCTTGATACGTGTGCGGAGGTCGTACTTGACGATGTTGCGCGTGCGCTCCTTGTTGAAGAACAGCGCCCCATCGTACACCACGAAGCCCGTCCCGTCCACGCGGTGGGGCAGTTTGTACGTGGTGGTGGGTCTGCCAGCGATGAAGTCCTCCTTGGACGAGTACTCCGTCAGCGTGTCCGTCCTGTAGGGGGTCCACGGCATGTAGTAGATCTTGTCCGATGCTTGCAGTGGGTCTTTGCACCAAGCTCCAGATTGATGGTCAGACTCGAACAGGTGCTCGCTCTGGTACACTCCCCTCAACAGGCCCGGACACAGGAAAACTGAAGAGTCAAGATTAACGAGAGACAATAGGGAAACAAGAAAATAAAACACAATAAATAACTTGATATACAGTATGGGATATCCTTAGACAGTGACATGTTACTAATCGTTTCAGTTGCAATTTCTGAATTTATTTTCCTCTTTCCGGAATAGCACGCTTTTCATTTCTGTCACGGCTGATGGTGACACCCACTTGTGAACCTGAACACGGCTGATTTATGCACAGACATATAGTGCGTTTTAGCATACTTTGAATCCGCACAGTCTTTTCTGCGCACACAGAGGTGACTGATTGCTGATTATGGAAAACAAAGGCCCTACCAGACCATAAAAAGTCCTCTTTCCATTTAATGGCTGCTACATTATCTGAAAAAAAAGTATTGTGTTACAAAATAAATCCATCACAAACCAAACCAATTAGCTCTCGTTCTTTTACGTTCCTTCCCATAATCTGGCGGCCTTTACCGTACATGTTGGGAAATTATTCCCTTGCATGAGACTTAAAACCTTCCCTTTTGGGTGGGGGGGGGGTGTGTAAATAAATAATGGATTTAAATTTGAAAGGCATTACTATATAATACCTCACCCTGAATGACATCAGTCTATCAAGTGGATTGCGTTCAAGACATACCTCATTAACGGTATTACTAGAAGCATACAGACATCATTCTTTTGTGTTAAATGAGTCAGGCCACATTGCAAAAAAAAAAAAAAAAAACATATGTACACTCAGCATGACAGCAAATGACATAGTGTGAAAATGAAGGCTTGAGATCATGACATCACGCCTATAATACACGGAGCGTGTCTCCCGGGTTGGATGTGAATGATGGGGAAAGTGGACATGCTTGGTTTGGGGGACATGCGAGATGTTTCCAGGCAATCGCACTGTAGCCATCACTTCCAGGTACGGAGATTGAACACTTGGCCAGGTTTTATTCGCTCCTGGGGACAAAAGTATTTTAATGCTCAGTAATACAAAAAAAAAGTCAAAGAAATAATTTTCTGAAAGGCCACTGGCAGGTGATTATTTATCGAAAAATAGTTAAGTAAACAGATAGACAGACAGACTAAAATCATATTTTATGCAGTTGGCTATTTGGTGAAGTGATCCGATCCTGGCACATCGCTCCTGGGTTTAACACGAGAGACTTGAACCTGTAAGTTCAGAAAGCATAGGCATACTCCATTAATGCAGCACTTCTGTAAATCTATAAAGACAGAGTGAAACAGCAACGCCACACAGACGGGGGCTCTGCGGACACGCATCGAGTGGCACCAGACAGACGAGTCACAATTACGGAAAACCAGGGTCGAGACATCGCTGCAACGTGAGAGCCGAGCCCACGTGGCACCGTACAGCGGCGAAATGAGCGTGGTCAGTAGCACTGGGCGCGTGTTATGCGACGGGATGGTGATGGGATATGGGATCGGGACGCGGCAGCACGAAAGCGCAGCCCCCTGAGTGCATTAGCGGTTCGCAGTGCGTGTGATAAGCACTTGTCAATACCGCATGGATGGCAGGGGGGCTCTCTCGCTATCTGCCCCCAGCCGGGATTGTCTGGAGGTTACGACTATCTCGGAGATCATTACTGTCTGGGCTGCATGGCTCCCGGAGCACAATTACAGAGACGGCGGCTTTTCGGGCTGCGCGATTGATTATTTAGGACAGCGCGCTAAGCGTTTTCATTAAATAAATAAGTAAGTAAGTAAATTAAAAAACAAACACACACGTACACACAGACATACACACAGACATACACACGGTATCTCGCCTGAGACGCTTAAATGTACACAAAGAGTCAGGTGATTAAAACATGGGCGATGAGTTCAAGGCAATCCGGAGATCAGACCTCAAAATAAAGTGTATAGCTGTATATACGGTTTTCGTCTCTTCTCGAACGTTCCGCTACCATTCAATTAAGCCAACGCGGCCAGAAAATATTATCAGCGTGGCCGCCATGGTGAGACAGCTGGCCATAGCTGAGAATAATTAACTGTGAACCTCAGCAGTGCAAATAGGGGGAAAAAAAAACACTGAACCACAAGGAGTGACAGAGCTAATTGGAATTCCATACTATGTGTCATAAAACATTTAATGTCTGAATCATATATATATGCGGAGGAGCGTATAATTGGAAAGGCATTGAATTACCTTTTTGTTCCACTTCTATGTTAGGCATTGGGGAGACAAGAGGAAGAGAGAGAAGAAAGAATAGATTAATGATGCGACAACGGTACCCTTTCAGGTCAAAATAATATGTATCATATTTTACCCACAACCTTGAGAAAATGGTCAGACGATCCTTTGGAGCAATAGATGATGTAATTATATAAACTGTGGAGAAAACTGTGATAAAACACGAGGAATAAATAAGGATGAGATAATGAGAGGCTGTTTATATGCGATTCCCGACCTGCTCAGTGAAGCAGCACTGTAAATCAAAGGGATGCAGCGTCCAGACACGGAGCATAGCTGGAATTTAAGGGTCAGTAATGACAACAGGGAAATGCACCCATACTTCCACGAGGCCAGCGGTGTCCCATTCAGATGCTGGAGGTAATTGTAATGCAATTCCGAGTTCCATTCTGAGCATGTCTGCTAGAAGAAGGAATTTCCATTGCAAATGGTTCCTCTCGAGTCCTCAAACACACACCTTGCTGCAGCACGCTAAATTTATTACAATTATTGCATATTTATTTATTTTATTTTTTTGCAAGCCAGCCAAAAGAAAATAAGTTAACCAGCTTTTTTTCCCCCATGATTCAAAAGACCCAGCTGACAAACCGTCATCAGTCTCATTGATACCTCAGGAACGTCATCAACACTCTACACGTCTTATGATCTGTGTCATGGTTTCATACGTCATCAGGGTGGGGAAATTTAAAGTTGTTTGTAGTCTCTGGCTAATTGAAATGAAATACACTGTATAATATGCAATATTCTTCACTGAATACAATGAATCTCATTTAAAGGAGATCTGAGAACCGTATGGGGGGGGGGGGTGTCATGTACTGTATATGGTACATTGTTGGGACCAAATGTCCCCACAATGTGATAAAAACCTGCAACCTTTTACCTGGCAGGGCTACTTTTTCGGTCTCCACATGGAGATACTTAATTTTATAAAAATCAGTGACTGCGATGAAAAAAGTAACAATGCCAAAAGTCTCATATTTTGTTTGTTTACTTGTGGTTAAGGTTAGGGCTGGGTAGGGTCTGTTGGGATTAGGGCTTTCCTCATAGAAATGAATCCCCACGATGCGAGTCCCCACAATGATATGAGTACAGGTGTGTGTGTGTGTTTGTAAACATCCAAGATGGCCCAAGGAAAGTAGATTAGAATTAGCATCCCTCATTGAATATCATCATTGTTTAATGTGTGTGTTTAGGATTTATTCAATACGACTTCTTTATCCATCTTAAGAAAATATGTATAACAATGTAAAACAATGTAACAAATCGACCTCTAATGACCTTTGGGGCATGAGGCATGCAGACAAAGAGGCAGCCATCCAAATCTAAGTTTTAAACAGTTACACATATGAACAGCTTTATATGCACCTTTTTAACATCAACACACAGCATACGACAGTTCTGTTTTCTTAGAACGGCGTAGATGTATTTCATGGAGAGATGCAGTGCGTGTTTGCCGATACCAATCTCTGTATGTTTGCATAGTCAGCACCACACATGTGCGCGTGTGAACGTAGCTGGCCTGAACTGTCAGGTGAAAAAACGTTTAATTTGAGCGATGATGTTTTGTGAAAACACTGGAGTCCGGAAAAGTTGGGCTGTGACCCGTCAAAGGGCCCCCATTGCCCAGCGGCCCTTGCAAGTTTACACACCGCATACCAGTGTCAAAAACAGATAATAATCCAGCCTAATTTTTACATTCTTCATAATAAATTTGGACCTTTGCCCATTCTGATTACAGATGACTGAACATGAAGTTCTGACCTTAAGTTCTCCAAACATTTGTATTCCGCGTAGCTGTTTAAGAAGAAATACAAGACACGTTCAACACACACACGTTCCCTAGAAAAATGAAACGGCTTGATTAATCCTTTTGCAGAGAGGTCATGGGGAAACACCAGGATAGATATTGTTTTTCTTAAATAATCCATTTCATTCCATGGCGATTAATGGGCTCGTAATTATTTTATCTCCCTTTTGAAAAGACCCAAGCTACGTCGTCGAGTAAACTGACGCACATTACGTCATGTACTTGGCTTTTTAAGGCGGCCAAAAATAAATTACAGCGATCGGAAGGCTGAACTTTCGATAATCTCCCTCGTCGCTATACCGGCTGCAGCCGGAGATTTCAGATTGGAGCGATTTATCACTTCGAACGGGACCTTTCATGATGGCAGAGAGGCATTAACTACTGTTTGGAGAGACATTCATTGAAGCTTCCCCTCCTTAACATCCCTAAATTGGACCTCAGTGATCATATAAAATACACCGTAATGGAACAATGGGGCACGGTAATTCCAGGCAGGGGCATTGTCACTCATAAAAGAGTGTCCCAGACATTCCGTTCCGTTTCCCTTCCTCTGTACGTGATTCACATCAACATAATAATGCAACAATCTATAGGCAAATCCTCAAATACAATGGGTGACGGCGTCTAAATGGTTTTATTCCTTGTCTTGCTGGCACGCTGCAATAAGCTACAATTGCCTGCCGTTCTAACCTAATTTTTAATATTTCTCTCAATCAAATCAGTCATCCACAGCTGGGGTCAAATTTACATTCCCCAGTCAGTTTGAAGTGATTTGTGTCCCTCCAGCTAACATAACCGGGGGGGGGGGTTGGATGCAGGTCATAAGACAGGAGACACCCGGGAAGATTTGCCAGTCAATCACAGGACTCGGACACACATGATCACGAGCAATTTAAAGGCACAATGGAAGGAAACAGCAGTTCATGGATTAACAATGTAGAGATACAATGCTAACCACTGAGGCACTGCACTGCACATTATTATTATTATTATTATTAGCAGATGCTTAGCAGACATTTTTCTTGAAAGCACCTACACAGCTGTTCTGTTAACCAATCACCTTTCCCAAAGTGGTCAGTGAAAGCCACTCCCACAGCCAGTGAGTTTCCATCACATGACCGCCCCTGCCTCTTCCCATAGGTGCGGTCCTGCATTCGGCCGCATCTGCCCGGCGACCGCGGTGATGTCATCGCCGGAGCACATTATCTAATCACGGCTAATTGGGGAACATATTTATCTGAATCTGTGAGGAAATTGTGAATAGATTTCCTATCCTAAATTAATTACTTAATTACCCAAATCAGAAGGTTTAATAGCATAAGCCCAGGGGTATGAGGGGTTATAACTGCAATTTCTGTCAATGGAGCGATTGCTAACGCTCAGAGGCGCTGATTATTCAGGGAAGGGACCGAGTGAGAGGTACACCGGTTTGGACTGCAGCCAGCAAAACACGAGGGACATCAGGACACCGGCCAAATGAGCTAAAATAGATAAATAAGGCCCATTTCATGCAAGATGGCCAGCGGAGCCATGGAGCATTAATAATGTAGCTGCATTCTCTAATTGCACCTTAATATCCACAGGCATCGCCTTACAGATAAATATGGATGCTGCCGGACGCCACGATGTCAGCGTCAAGCAAACCGACAAGATCCGATACGTATCGCCGTGCCTGAATAAGCTGGAAGTCGGCTGAAGTACAAAGCGGACCCAGCTATCTAACGCGCCACTTCAGAAACAAGGGCGGCTGCAAACACGACAAAATACGAACAACAGCTGACCGTCTGCATTCCTCACAGACCCTGCTGGCACGTATTTTGTAACATTATTCAGCACTGTCATATCACCAAGTCGTAATTTAAGCTTAACTTCTTCAACTAGAGGTTGCTTGGTATACGCCAAATGATAACTACTGAAGTTTTTGAGATGCTTTACCAATCTGGGGGCAGGTAACTAGGGGCGGGCTAATTTATTTCGGGATCCCTAGGGCGACACTCAGGTGCCTCTGATTTTACTAACGGCTACATTTTCCCCAAGTGGGGCGGGGCTCTGATGTTTAATGAGGCCCTAGCCTATAGCCTACGGTAGCATGCGCAGTAATCTACCCCTGTAGCTATCAAACTGGTTCAGGTCATCCTCCTCTGCGGTGCACATCCGTTGCCCCGCACCAGCAGTCCCAAACCTCTGTTCCCGTCACTTTCAGATCCTTCTGTGGCAGAAAAAAGTTGATTAGTCAACTGATCTTAAAGTCAATACGGAGTGGAAGCAGGAGCGCTTAAGGTGAAAAATTAGGTTCGTCCATCCATCTATAAAATGTATCCAGTACAGCGTCACGAAGACCCTAGAGCCAGGAATCAGAAAGGCACAAGAGAGGGGACACTGCTCAGGATGGCAATTGATTGCTGGGCACACAGTGACACCCTGGGAAACTCGGAGACATGGGGACACCCTGAAACACTCACACGCACGGCCAGGATGAAGGATGTAGTGATCAGGCAGGGAGTCCTTGAGGAGAGCTTTGGGAACCATTGACCTAAACTGAAATGTCAGTTTTTATTCAAAGCAATGAAGGTTTCTATGGATCAATGCAGAGGCAATGAAACATCACGGCAGCAACCTACACCGAGCTGTAATGATTCTACATGATCGACCCAGCATTTGTTTTTCCTTTCCCACTGTGAGAATCGCAGGCAGCCCTCTACAATTCCCAGTGAGCATTTTTGCCATCATATACGGTATTCTTTACAGTTCTGTAACACCGAGGGTTCATGGGAAAATGAGTATGGAAAATGGAAGGTAAGAGTCATGCCTTGAACTGCAGAAGTCACATGAGTTACTAGAAGGAATGGTGCTGGGTGTCTTTACTGACATCAGAAAACTACATTATACTTCAGGAAGTGACACAGATAAGATCAGTAACATCCTGGGCTTCTGTTTGATACACTGACATTGTGCAGAGATCAACAAAATTAAATTAATGTCATTTTTGAGCAAACTTCCATTTCAAACCGGAAGAAATTCTGCATATCTGCGCTGCTGTTTGCCTGCACCAAACATTTATGGGTTTTGAGGCAAAAAAAACGTTTGTGAAAATGTAACAATATATAAATAATTAAATGCGACGATTGAATCGGTATATTTTCATCACCACGCAAAATTTTATAACAGAGGCCATGGATTTTCGACTTAGAAATACAAAATATTTAATACACAGAGGCATAAATTATAAAGACACTTCACAGATGCAAAACTTATCTCCAAAAGTCCATTTGACACCTTGTAGGACTGAATGTCACAGAACAATCTGATAAGAAAGCCATGAATTCTGCTGGAGGGAATCTTCAGACTTAGCTGCCAGCCACTAGCCGCTTGGCGCTCATCACGCCCTCCTCCATCCACTTATCAATTCTCTGCATGTGTCCATGGCTACGGTCCATATTAATTCGAACGACAGAATATTTAATAAATGTGTCCTTAAAGGTAATTTACGGTGCCATAATTGAATGTCTAATCAGTTCGGCATATCTATCTGTTTCTGTGGAGATAACTGGCATACATACGTAGGGAGGTTAGGAGGACAGATGAATCACATTGAATTAGCAGTTACGTTGGTCACCATCTGCCGTGCCGTATCTGCCGGGGCACCGCTGCCCGCGGTGAGCTGATATTCCGATCACGCTCGGGGAACTCATGTTCAGTCATAGTATAGATATCCATCCATCCATTCATCCATCCGTCCATCCTTGTTCTCCTGGCATGATTTTTATCCAGGTATTGTTTATTTTTGTTGGTGGGGGGTACGGGGCGGGGGCTGGAGCACTGCATAATAATAATAATAATAATAATAATAATAATAATAATAATGATAATAATGATATGTTGACCATCTAGGATCCCAGCCTTGCTCCTTATACAGCCAGAGGATAGATAAAAATTGTGTGACATGATTATTATTAGTTTTTATTCATAAATGATGAAGGAAATCAGAAATGTACGGGATAACAACTGCATGCATTGCTATGCGCGCTATTGTAAGGGTCCTGCCATATAATTAGATGAATATGATTCGCATTAAGAGGATCTTATTTCATGCTGTCAGAGAGCAGCCGGCACGCTGCCAGCGCACTGCATCGTCACTGTACAGAGAGCAGCCGGCACGCTGCCGGCGCACTGCATCGTCACTGTACAGAGAGCAGCCGGCACGCTGCCGGCGCACTGCATCGTCACTGTAGACTCCGGCGGCTTGGCTACCGTGGAGACCTTGCTTTGGTGATTAAAAGAAAAGCAGTTTCCTTTTTTCTGGGGCTGCATGTTACTGACCGGAATCCTAATGAAGGTCCGCATGAGAAAGACGGGCAGGATGTCAGTGGTCAGTGGGGTGCTGCGATGTCCCCCGGTCGGCCTGTTCCGTCTCCTCCTTAAGCTAAGCCCGCGTGTAACACTCAGAACAGCATTCTGAACAGGCATTCTTCACTTCAAGAGACCATAAATACTGCAAAGGCTGCTAATTTACCTATCCGGCTGAATTTTTTATTCATAAACCCTCAGATTTGTTGGCAGACAGTATGAATTGTTTTTATTAGGCTGCACATTTTTATTGGGCTGCACATATTACATATTTCATATCACATTTATTAGCCTTTTTATTAAGTCATTTGTCCCAGCTGACTAATTGTATCAAATACAAATTAGTTCCATTCAACTTTCGGTCCTTAGGGGGGGGCAAAGCCAGTGACAACTAAGTCTTAATTCTGTCTACCACAAATCCTTTATATATTTAAAGACCAAAGCGATTCTTTTTATAGTCATAATCATATTTCACTATTAGTATCAACTAAATACTAAATGTGTCTCCTTGTTACTTTTTAGTAGTTTGTCCTGGTTGAGGAGGGAAAGCAAGCCAGATGTTTAGCCTTTTCACATGCAGGAAATGAACGAAAGTGCAAATGAGCAAACAAACATTAGAAACATTAGAAAGTCATGTCATTCCCGAGAACCACACAGTCATTTACAGAGCGAACATTTTTATCCAAAACAATGTACAATTTTTTTATTGTTTCTTTTTTTTTTTTCTTCTTCTTCAAACGGTCCCTGGATCACTGGGTGGTTAAGGGCTTTGCTCAAGAGCCCAATGGTGACATCACTCTGTAGACCTAGGGATTTGATCTGACAACCATCTGATCACAGGCACGGCACCATAACACCCTGAGTCACACAGCACCCCTCTATGTAGACTGGCTCTGTTCTATACCTTTACGTCATGTACATTCTTGCAGTGGGCTGCTTCACTGACGACTGCATCGCGCTCCATGCTGAGCGAGACCAAATGCACCATTTCACATACACAATAATGCACTTGGCAACCAAAGCTGACTCTGACTTTAGCTACAGGAAGTCCATGTCCTCTTACTGGGCCGGGGTTGTGCTGCATGTCTCAACACAATATGGTATATATGAGGCCTCATGCAACAGAGTTACGATTTCATGTAGCGCTTGCTATAAAGTCAGCTAAATGAAGAGCGCCAGGATACGCAAAGCAAACAAACAAGTCCGGCATGATGAAACATATCCTGCGCCAGCCAATAACTGTCAAATAAACTGTGCGGTTTTAAATCAGCTCCAGGTCTGACCCTAGAGAGGTCCATTTACTCTTTTTTTTCTGGAAACTCTTAAAGTGGGAGGGTGAGGTTCTGTTCGCTCGATCCGTCCGTGGACGATCTGCCTTCTACCAAGCTTTCTGGGCACGATGCACAAATTATGGCTAGTATCTACTGCAGGCGTGGCTGGTCCCATACAGAAAGGGCCGCTGTGTGTGCGGGTTTTTGCTGCAACTCCCTAATTAGATTACTAATTAGAGGACTGATTGGCTGAATAGTCCTCACACCTGGGTTTGAACAGCCGACCTAAAAGTTATCCAAAAAACCTGCACACACACCGGCCCTCTGCGGATAGGATTTCCCCCCTACACTCATTCTCTGCCTGTCTTCCAGCTTCCCTGCATCTTCTATAAGACCCGATTTGCTCATAAAATGTCCAAAATTCCACTGCCATTGCATGTCTTCTGCGATCTCGGTCAATAACCGAATCCGCCCGGAATCAGCTACCCTCGTTCACGGTTTTCGGAGCAGTGTGACACCGCTTCTGTGAGAGCACCAATCGGCTCAGTACGTCAGACCATGCCGGCTTGTCTTTGTGGCTGTATATTTATGTTCTTTTATTAAAGTCATATGATGGAGGCACAGTACAAAATTGCAGGCATTCCGACAGAATTCTGTACAAACAAACCGAGTGTCCAATTCCTTAGTTCCGTTTCTCACACAAACACATGTTGAGCAGACGAAATAAAAGGCCTTGAATCCAAAGAAAATATGCATATCGCCATGCGTGGCAGGAACAGTAATAAAAATGTGGACATTTTCTGCATATTTAATATGATGCACTATAAAATTATGAAAATTATTTGATCCGTATGTCGTATGCTCAATTTACAGCATTTAAGGTACCAAACATAAGCTGAAACCAAAGAGCATGTTTCCTCTCAGCAGCCGCTTTAGCTATCGACGTATAACGGAAATAAAGAAAACGATACGTACTGTAAGGGACACATTCGTACTGGACCTCCAGGTACTTGTATGTTCCAGGGCAAGGATCCGGAAACACGTCAGGTCCAGCGACCACGGCGCACTGCGTCCGGTTATTGCATCTGAAATCAAGAGGAAAAAGAACAAGGTTATTTACAAGCAGGTACAAGTCAGGTCCAGAATAGACAAAAAAAAAAACAGGAAGGACAGTATCTGTCATCCATCTCCCAACTGCAAATCCCAGTCAGGGTCAAGCGGAAAACAGCTACATTTGAAGGAGAATTATTTCCATTTTCTGAGTAGCAATGGCTTGCAAAGTAGTGAAGATATGATTTGTGTTTTTCATAGACATGACTGGGAGGTTAATGAGGCTGGGGGGCAAGGGGGGGGTCAAATACCTCCCTTTGCTTTCTGTATGCATTTGGTGCATGGTCTGCTCATGCCATTGGTGTGTGTGTGTGTGTGTGTTAGTGTGTGTGTGTTAGTGTGTGTGCGCATCAACATGTCTGCTTGTTTGTTTGCCTGTGTGTTTGTGTGCATCCTGTCCTGGGCATTCCCCAGCTATATGCCCTATTCGGTCGGCGTCTCTCCTTACCACCCAGATAAGAAAAAATTAGGTTGACTAATTTCTAGGAGAATCATTACCCCACCTTCCGTTATTTAAAAAAAAAAAAAAATGTCAAGCATGTCCCCACTAAATATTGTAATAAGAGAACAAGAGGCAGACTAAATTCTGCTACTATCTTGGATTTCCTGAGACACGAATTTGCTTATTGTCAGGATGTCAAGTGATATTGAATACAATAAGGCCGTCAAAGCACCAGCCTTTAATAAAACCATTTTATCTTCTGATACATTAATACAATCACAGGGCAGGTTAAACACTATGCTGGCAATAAAGAAGTTTTGTTCTACGTCGCTAATTAAGAACTGCGTACACGCGTCAGGATAAATTAGACAAAGTGCATTGCGATTTTTATAGTCCCAAAAGACAAGCCTGATTAATTAACAATTATCATTAGAGTTTAAACAAGACAGTTACTAATTTTCAAAAAACCAGGTCATTTTCAGAAAAGTTAAAATATATGTGCTAAAAAGTTTTCTAGTGGTTGGCCGTTAATAGCCCATTTTATTTCAGCATTTTTCCGTCGCCCTAAAAAGACGGGCATCAGGGAGATTACACTTCACTATGGGCTACTTAGCGTAGCTATTGAAAGAGGCAGAGCTGAACTTTAAAACGTTTCTTCTATGTACGCGCATCGTGTTTTTTTTTTTTTTTTTTAAACTCCAGTGTTAATGTTAAACAGGTGCCTCCATCAAATGTCAGATTATTCTAACGCTAATATTCATCTATTTCCTTTGAAGCATTTATGCTCAGCGTTTTTTTTCCCCCTTCCAGTTTCATTCTGCCTTCCACGCTCCCCCTCCCGCCCCCGTCCCTGTCAGATAAAGAACAGCAGACGTCAGATGTGGCACAATGAGCAAGACATCTGTAAGCACAAAATGCAATCACTGCTTGTCCAAAAAAAAAAAAAGAAAAAGGAGAATCGCAGGGTCCGGACGGGGAGCGGCTTTTGCAGACACCGGATCCGCCTGTTAATGAGAGAGATTTATCTGGCCAGCTATCTGTGCCGTGCGCTAATTACTGCGCCCGCTGCTCCCTGCGTGTGCATTTCACAGAGGGGCCATCCTGCACCAACCTCCCCGGCCTATAGCGCCTCATTCAGCGGGAGATATCGATAGCCTGCGCTGTATTTAACTAAACACGCATTCCGGTGAGGAATCCGATCGCTTGTGGGCATAGAGTCACGGAAGCGAGCCCCCTCCTTCTGATTTCAGCCGTCTCTCACGTGCTGATGGCGGAGGCGGAGAGGCGCCCCAAGACGTTAGAGAAACACCGGCTGATCGGCAGAAGGTTTGGGATCTTGATACTTCTCCAGGGGCTGCATTTCGTCCCCTTACGGAAGGGAAGGGATTTCAGTCTCTGTCAGTAATAACCGCAGTTCAGAAAGCCCGTCTTTTTGGTGGTTTTAAAATGTGCATGCAGACACTTTGAAAAACAAATAGATAAATAAAAATGATGCATGAACGAATAAAGAAATAGACAGATAAATACAAAAATTGACGAACAAACGAATAAATAGATAAACAAACAAATAAACAACACAGTCCCTATACATTTGTGGGTCCCCGTCTTCAATTACGGCTGAACATCACCGTGACAGCTTTCCGTTTTAAAGCTTCCCCAAGGTGAAAGAGAAGCGTTCACTCCCCTGAGTTCTCCAGTCTGACATCTAAACACAAAGACCCGATTTCTCAGGATTAGACGCAGCCCAGAATTTACGTTAGTTTAAGAATTAAACCACGGCTATTTAGGTTAAATTAAGATGATAGACATAATTATATGACTGCCCAAAGGGTAAAAAGAAACGCGCAAACAAGTTTAGCAATGCTATTTTTTCCCAATGTGACTATATGATTTTACCAGAAGACACAGCCCAAAAACACTGCAAACAAAGGGAAAATTTATAAAACTAATAATTAGTCTGTCAATAATCACAGCGGCGCAAGTAAAAACAATAATACATTGTGTGGCGGAGCAAGTCAACAAAAGATATGCAGTGTTTGCTTATACAGCGGTTCCATATCTACTCCCTCTGTACAGATACAAATAGGGTCGTTTTCCCATTAAAATTTACTCATTTGTATGCTTAAAATGGGGAGTCATAGCCGACCGCAGAAAGGGAGACGGCCTATATGAAACGTACTCCATCGGAACGTCATAGGACATGGCGCGATTCCAGAGCACTGCAGTCAATTAGAGGCATAAACATACACGTTTCCTAGTATGGTATGTTTGGGAATAATGGGGCACTTTGTGCACTGATGAATGTAGGCAGTATTCTGAAAGAGATTGCACTCATTGGGTCCTCTGGGTTGCGCTGACTGATTAAACAAATGTGTTGGGAAGAAATTACAGGGGAAGGAATACATAGCGGTCCTGTGTCTGGGCTTTGAAGAACATCAAAGAGCATCCATGGTACAGACAGCATGGTAAGGATGAGTTATTCCATGGAAAGACAAAGACACAAGTCACTGGGAAATTTAAAAAAAAATAAAAAATCTGCTCAAATCACAGCTTAAACAAGGCGGTGTTTAAGAATAACTTCCTACCCGTATCAAGGCATTTTAAAACAAACACTGACCAGCAAAGGGCATTTTGTGCCTTGGGAGATGCTAACAGAGTATAGATCCCCGCTACAGGAACAAGAAAAGTTTTCATTTTAATTCCCCACATGCTCTTTGCCTAATTCCTCAGTTCACACCCTCATTCCTCCAACAACATCCCCCTTTCTGCCCCTGTAATTAATAAACATGCTTGAAAACGCTGCTACATTCACTGCAATGTGTGTGTATATGTATATATGTACAAACACACACACACACACACACACACAGACACACACATGCAGACACACACACACACTCACACACACACACACACACACACAGACACTCACTCACACACACACACACACACACACACACACACACACACACACATACACACACACACACATACACACAGAAACAGCCATATCCTCCTGAGACCCCACCCATTCATTTATGTCCATTGTAGTGGACAATTTGTTTTTGCATCTATCTTTTCACTGATGTAAGGAAACATATTTATTCCTGTTGTACACTAAAGAGGACATGCTGTGAAATTAAAAATAAAAATAAATTTGAAAAAATCTAAATTGTAAGATGTTTTATTTCCTCCAAAGACAAAAAACTTAAAATTGAAGGACACTTTTTTCCCTTGGGTCTCAGGAGGATATATATAAAAACAGTACCAGTCAAAGGTGTTTACATACACTAACATTTTACACATTTGCATGCTGCTCACTTAACATTTGCTAAAAATACACTCATTTTTCTTTGCTAACAAATAAATGTACAGTATGTTCACCATTTGAGTACCTTCATTAGCAAGAAAATGTCATATCATTGATTCATCAAAGTAACCTCCTCTAGCAGTTATAACAGTAGAAAAAAATTGAGGCATTCTGAGGGACTTTAAATACTGCTCTGTTTCATGGGATGAAAAAGTTAATGAGTGCATTTAAAGTTAAAGGACAGCCTAGACTATACCATCACCACACAACCAGTTAATAGCATGTCGGGCATGCACTGTTACATACTTTTTTCCATGATATAAAGGAAACTTGTATTATTTGACTTATATTTTCATTTATAGTTGTTCACTCACAACGTGATGAATACCCGTTTTTTTCCCTTATGGGGACCAGTTTCCTAACCCTAACCCTAGCTCAATTAAATAAAAATTGAATTAGGGTTAATGAAAAATGAAAAAACTAAAAATGCAAAAACTCTCGTATTTTGCTTGGTTACTTATGGTTATGGTTAGGGCTGGGTAGGGGTTAAGGTTGTCATAGTTAGCATTAGCATTTTCCCATAGAAATGAATGAGTGTGTGTGTGTGTGTGTGTGTGTGTGTGTGTGTGTGTGTGTATATGTCATATGGAGAGCAGAAGCTGGTTCTGTCCCAGAGCCGTGCAGACCATTCCGCTTCATCCTTCATTGCTGTTTTCTTTCTGTCTGTCCTGTACCCCTCCTTGTCCCTCACAATCACCGAGCACCGCCAGACCATCTCTTTCATCTCTCCCTTTTCCATTTCTCTATACCTTTTGTGGCATCTTTGGGACCCACTTTGCTAACCCTCCCCATTCACACACAGGCGCAGAAAAAGGAAAAAAAGAAAAGTTTACTTCCCTTAAGCTGCAACAGTGCACTAGTTTAGTGGGAAGAAGGAAGATGGTTTAAAAATTGTGCAGCCTCTGATTTCCTTGTGGGCGTTTTACCTGCCCTGGAGGACGTACGTCAACCATGACCACAATGGAGATACAAACAGAATTACTGTGCCTGATGTTGCCTGAACCACAACAAAAGAGATATGATTACCCTTCCTCCATTAGCCGACATCTTTAAGCTTGTCTGAAGCTATAACAAAAGGGAGAGATCTCCACCGATTCCCCAGCCGGGGTGGAGATGATCGCTTTCTTTGCGTGATCGAGTTGCCCCTTATCCGATTTTTTTTT